TTATCAGGCTTTCTTTAGGTCCAGAATGATGCAACTCATTTTGCACTCAACTCTATCTGTATTTTTCTATCACTATCCGAGCGGAGTGGATAGCTCGATTGTACCCACTCCTTTTGCACATCGGACTGATTCGGTGGAAGCTTCACGGTATTCGCCGCGTTTTTTCTTGCTTAGAGACATCTTCGGATATAACCAGGGTCGAGCAATAGATGCGGCACATAACCGCCGGATACGACCCCCCCCCCCCAGCAGTTTCGTTTTCCTACCGTGGGCATGACATAAAGGCTCTACCAAGCATAACTGGCAACATATTTAACTATCATATCAGATAATCCCCGTGGATCAAATTTCAGCGTCTGAGCGTTTTCAACGTTGGGCCATCCAAGTGAAGCGGCCATTCTCAAACATGGTTAACCATACTTTGCAAATGAATTAGCTATCTCCTTTTCTACTCAGTACAAAGCACCACACTATATTTGCGTATACCATGAATATTGTTATAAATAACTGTCAAACTGTGGAAAGCCAGCCAAAATCTCGTTTCTCACTTTTTCGCCTACCGATTGCCCAAACGAAAGAAAACAATCAACGAAAGCTTCAATCATTTCCACAAAAACTACGGGATTTTAGCTATCGAAATGTATATAATTGGTTCTTTGATATTCTCTTTGAAGGTAAGTCAATGGGGTTGTGCCACCCTCCATCAACTTACTTTCAAACCACTCAAACCCCTGCCTTTTTTATATCGTTGCTATTGGCCGACCTTCTTCTTTACACAACAGGAATTTCATTTAAAATCGTATCTTTTAGGGAAAGTTATATTCGTTTTTCCTTACCTATGCAAATGGAAAATACTGCGAAAATATTGTTACGGTAATATGCTGAGCCTGCGCTAATACGTGAATCGCGAGGGAAGACGTTAATACCATCGGCTCCCCGATTGCCGCGAGGGGGACCCGGGCGAGCGTAACAGCGGTGCGGCTGCTCTGTGTTGAAACATAGCTGATAGACTGATTATCGGTTGACCATCGCGACCGCCCTCGCAGCAATCGGGGAGCCGATGGTGCGTGAATCGCGAGGGAAGACGACAAAATTGTACGGATTCGATAGTTTAAGCCTCCTAATTTACACTAAAGTATTCGAGCCTGATTGGTCTTCTCTAGTCTGAGTAGTTGAAAGCGAAGCATGGGACAAACGAGATTCTGTCTTGCTCTCAATGCTATAGTTGGAGGTTGTTCGAAGTGGATTCTCTAATGTGAGCAAAGAAATAGTAATTCTTTGTTCATTGTGCAAAAAGAACTAATTAACTCACCTTTGAAACAAAGTTAGCATGTTCGAAAATGACCATCTCACTTGGGTGCCGCGGTATGTGGAGACCTCAGAATTCGCTGAAACTTGGCTCAAAGGAATTATTTCACATGCTAGTTACGATATAGACCTTTATCATGCTTACTGCACGTACAGTGCTGGATATAAGTATAAAAACACTCTAGAAATCATCGTAATTTTCGTTCTTGTCAATGAATCTGTCTGAAACATTGCTGTATTGTGCGCATGTCAACGTGGGATCAGCTTTGAGACGGAATTTAGGCTGTGGCCTGCGGCAGCCATCTTTTCGTAGGTTTTCCATTTTTCGGTACGTCCTCCGGTTTCCTTAGGCTCTTGCTAAGCCTGTCTTCAATTAAGGAGGAAGTGCTCCATCTCCTTCATAGACACTGCCCTTTTCTCGCTAATCATTATAATTCACGTCCTTCTTCGGGAGCTTTCAATCTTTTCTAGAGCTCCTTTACGTACACTTGATTTTTTTACGGAAGCCTTGGCGGGCTTGGCTTGTTGGTATGTCTACAATCCAGTCAATTTCAACTCATGTCATCGCTGTACGCATCCTCCTCATTTTATATTATTATTTGTACTTCGTCATTCGTCCACCACCACGCTTTTCAACTGAACCTTCTTCTTCCTGGCTTTGTGCTTCGCGGGGCCATGGTATTGGACTCACGTAGTAGTTTTGCCAATTTTCATCATCTTTACATCCGATCTGTCGAGAATAGCCGGTTGACTTGCAAGGCTCGTTTCCCAGCACTGAATTGAAACAACAAAATGCAGATTACGCAAGCGTAATGTAATTCACAGCTGCTTCACCGGCGAGATGTGCATCAGGGCCTCAAAATTGTCGAGAGGGATACTACAAACTCGATGGGCGGTGTCTTTTTTAGAAATAAATCAACTGAAAAATTGTTGGACATGATCTCTGGATGACGCGATCAGCAACCCGGTCAAAGATTCGCGCGGCAAGAACGTACCCTTCATTCCCTGACTAAGAGACACGAACACCTTTGCGTAAGTCCAACTATTAGGTTGATGCATAATTTCTGCACCAAAATAGGTACAGACCGCAATAACTCGGAATAATCCTATATCCCAAGTAGGATTCGATATATCATTAAGCGCAAACCTAGCTCTACAAGACAGTGCTCAAATATCTACACCAGCTTTGATTCTCGCGAAGTTTTGAGCCAAAAACTGAAAACCATGCGTCCGAAAACCTTAAGACAGATCTTAAAAAAATTGTAACTTCGTTCAAAAAGTTCCTAGAAAATTTCTTTCTTGCACACGCATAGACATTCCACGCATCACGTCTATCTATGCGGTTCCTGTATTATTTGCTCAGCTAGACGATGAGAAAACGAAGTTTTTCATGTTTTTTCCAAAACAATGCTGAGATGTTCTAGCACTGACAATTGTATACTATAGGATCTTAGAAGCGTGAATGTGAATTTTCAGCTTTTTACAGCAACTGGTTTACGAGAAATATCGAATTTTTGGAAATTAGGCAAGAAAAATTCGGATGAACAGAGCTAGATTCTCATTACTCGTGAACTAGCTGTTCTAGAAGGCTGAAAATGTAAAGTTTGACTGCTAATGGCATGTACTATACAACCGTTAGTGTTAGAACATCTCAGCACTAATTTGGCAAAAACATGAAAAACTTCGTTTTCTCATCGTCAAGCTGAGAAGAAAATACAGAAACTGCATAGATAAATGTCTTATGTAAAACGTCTACGCGTGAGCAAGAGAGAATTTTTTAGGAGCTTTTTTAACGGAGTTACAATTTTTTAAAATCTGTCTTAGGGTTTTCGGACGCATGGTTTTTTTCAGTTTTTGGCTCAAAACTTCGCGTGGATCGAAGCTGGTGTAGATATTTGAGCACTGCTTGTAGAGCTAGGTTTGCGCTATCTAATGATGTATCGAATCCTACATGGGATATAGGATTATTCCGAGTTATTGCGGTCTGCACCTATTTTGGTGCAGAAATTATGCATCAACCTGATAACAAGTTTATGAGTGTATTTTAAGGCATGTTGGTAAATTACTATTGGGCATGTGCGAACTTGCGTTGTTTAACGAGCTCGAACATGTTCTTTCACCTAATAGCCACGGCCCGGCACGCGTTGGTTTGGATCTTTATTTTTTGGAAGCGAAGTCCCCATGACTTCGCGAAAATTACGAAGTCCCTTTTGACGTAAAAATCAGTAGGAATGACAGAAACCGAAAAAAATAGCATTTTGAGGTACCATTTGATTCAGCTGACTTGGCTTCGGAAAGGCGGGGCTTCGTGACCTAATTGAGGCTAACTAATGATCACAGAGCACTCGCGCGAGAGAGACGCAGGTGCGTCACGGGCGCGAGCGGCCTTAATTAGGTCACAAAGCCCCGCCTTCCCGAAGCCAAGCCAGTTGAACCAAAGGTTATCTAAATAACAAAAAAAGCAAAAAACATTCTGAGTTGGTTAAAGGCTGTTTCACTGAGTATGTACCATTTTAGTGCTAAGAATGTCGAAAATTATCTAGGCCAAACAAAAATCTGTGGCCTCATCAATCTGGCGATGCATTTATCGCCACATAGTTCGAAGGACACTGCATGTGATTGGGGCGCGATATCTATCAATGCGTAGGCTTACACTACTTTTGGCGCAAAGCAAAGAGGAAGCCAATGGTTTCATTCGCTCTCTTCCGTTAATTTGAGCGTTCTAATCGTCCAAATTACAAAGGTCCAAAAGTTACATGAACTCTCCGATACTTATGCTCCAAACCATCACATTTGGCTAAATTCGGTGTCATGTGATTGCTGCGCTGTAAACAAGCTATCTTTTTGCTTGTCTTGCGTTCGAAATTCGCGCGCTTGCGAAAGAACACGTTCAACTCGTAGAACCTGACATTTTGTCTTTTTTATTCGACGCTCCGCCCAGAACTATAACGATATCCCCGTTGCTTCTAACCTCAAAAATGAAGTCCAATTTGACCCCAGACCATCTGCGCCGGGCTCTGCTAATAGCCATCAACCGGAACGCGTAAGAACTCACTCATTGAACTTGTTAATCAAAGGTACGCAAAGCGTGCTTGCGTTCCTTAGTCGGAGCATGCATGATGTTTTGGGGCGTTCATAGTGTTCCCTAATTCTGGATCAGTATGAACGCAGTTTATGATCATTTTGCGGTCAACCTGAGTATAGGCACTTTTCCAAAACGATGCTACGGAAATACAGTAATCCAACTGCCCACATACTTGTGTAGCCACCATAGTAGCGGTCAATTACGGTTGCACTTGTACGCGTCGCCGCTACGTAATCCTCTTACTGTGCGTACAAGTTGAGGGATCGGTGGACAGATCTGCATTTGATCAAATGTAGCAGCTCTAATAAAAGAGTTCAATAAGCATCACAACATCCACTAGGTCAATGGTAGGCAAAGTTTCTGAAGAAGATAAAAAACAAACACACGAGAGCTCATCAAAAACTTCTCAATGATATTGTCGTCAAAATCGATTAGCTTTGGTTTATTCCTTCCTTCAAGGAACCCTGGAATATTTTCCAAATTTTAGCGACCTTACGATTATGGAAGTTGAAAAAAGGCTGAATTCTGGATGGAATTTGTGAAACTATTCTGTGTTTTGAACTTTTCACAGCGTTCTTTTTTCTGACAGAGTCATTGTAAGCAATACCTGTACTCAACAGCACTTTATTCTGTAAATACAAAACAGAAACTACAAAGGCACGTGTATGATATAACATAGTAAATGTTTTGAATAAACTATATCGGCATGCCAGTCATGTACTTATACTAATCTAGGATTATATACAAAAAGAAATAGAGAAGTGAGAAACATAATCAGAAATCTAGCTGAATGGCAAGTTCGAATGGATTCGAAGGGAACGAAACAAAAAGCCACGGTGGCAGCAGAGACCAGCTCGGAGACGGTAGGACGGTAAAGGAAACTTTGATGAGAAAAGAGCAGGATGCTGTATCCCACAGCTATTCACAATGTATGGACACGGCAAAGATAGCGTAGATCAACAAGAGTAAAGTGAATGGTATCAATCGATCTCTACTCATAAAGGCACAGTGAATAAACAATGACAGGATGATAATGTCTAGGCACAGACTGGAATAGTTGAAGGAAATCCAAGAAAAGAGCAGCGCAAAGCACTATCTGAAAGCTTTTTTCATAGCCGCACTGGTCCGGATTTAGAATAACTTTTGACCCCTCGAAACCATGACATAAAAACAAACAGAGTAAATACATATATATGTAGCCAGTAGGATCAGCGTGTTTATAAACGCCGCTGTCAAACATGTTCTCCGTGGAAACAAGACGTTACGGCCATGCCCATAAGCAATACCTTTGTTTCCATAAAAACTAACAAATAAAACAAAACTGAAATTGCGCTGCAGTCACATTCAATGCGTGCCCGCAGTAAAAAAAATTGAGTACTTAAGCGAATTGCTTTTAGCCTTACTTGACTTGAACTCAAATGAGACGCATATCCTCGGGGTAGATCAGCTATCATCATAATGGTTACAGCTTGCTGACCGCTTGTTCCAGTCTTTCTGACGGTATGAACAGCAAATCTAGTTTGATCAACCTTATCGAAACTTGAAATCGGAACGTAAATGATCTGACTGATTAGAGAAAGAAGAACAAGCAACAGAACCAAAAATAGGCACTGGTTTTTACAAAAATGGTAAGCGATAAGGCAGATACCATGAAGAGACTGCCGTAGTCGTGAAGTGAACACGAGACTAGGGTGATATGTGTGAACAATCGAAAAGACGGTGAAGGGTATTTGAGGACGATACTGAGCGCCTCATGTTTCTGAAAGAGCAGCAACAGACGCTAGTTGAGATGCAGGGAACAAAGTGGATAGTCGACGCAAAGTATGGCATATCAACAACGATCTCACTAAGGAATTCAATCCCCTTGATAAAAAAAAATTCCAATTAAACGCGTGAATGATAGTTTCAAAAAAGGGAGTGATACGGAGGCGACTTCACGGTGAGGTTCAAATACTGAGCTGTAAAGCAGTAACTTCGCGACAAACTCGGTCATACAGCGTCTGGCCGCAAGCACGAGGTGAACCTGCTCCAGACGATCGCTCACTGGTCGAGCTACAGTATCCAGAAGTCATTTCGCCTCCCTTCTCGACAAGCGGGCACGTCGAGGAAAGTGCATCCCACAAGCTCATTGGCTGCGTCAGCTTAAACAAGTACTTTGACCTTTAAAAACAGATCTTTGCAAGATTCTTCAGTAGTGCAAATAAACTAGCAGTCTTGTGGAGAAGACGACTTACTACTTTGGCCTTAAGTGCGTAAAATACAAGTAAAAATATAGGACATATTTCCGAATATCTGTATGAGAAGACTCGCCTGAACTCTGCCCGCAGTACCGCTACCCAAAAGTTCGTGATTTTCATATATCGAACGAGGCCATCGGCTCGGTCCTTCATGAGATTGAGAGGAGCCAGAAAGCAACGGAATAGATTGGTCCACAGAAATTAGGTGCTGCTGAGAGCGATATTGCGGTAGTGACTGCGTTATCATTTGAGCATTGAGCGGTAACTGGAACAAGGGTCACACATAAGCTAAGATTCGCGTAGAGCTGATCGTTTGAATGAGAAATAACATACCATTTGCCGCAGACGATTCTTCAAATGTGCATTGCCATTGCAGGCTGCCTCCATAGAGTAACTTGGTGGCCAATGCCTGGCATTTAGCTGATCTGTCGCCAACTGCGGTGACGGCAATGACGCCATTATTTGAGCATTCCTCATAACCTGAGACCAGTCTCGTGGCGTTGAGTACTGATTAACCATTACATCGGCCTAAAGAATACATGCAAATTTATTTACAAACGAAAATACTCGAGAAAGTCGGTCGACTTACAGGACGATGCTGTGCATTGTGATGGAATTGAGAGGATGCCACTACTTGTTTGTTGTTCGCTTTTCCGTTTTCGCGCTGGGAAAGATCCTGAAATCATCATAAATGGAAACAGTAGCCCGATGCCCCCTGATACATACCTGTTGGACTTACCTTGTAATGACATAATTCACACTTCCCCGAATGTGGTAATCCTACTCGCTGGCGACGAACATCGGCAGGACGGATAGCCTTGCGCGCTAGTCGTTTCCATTGATGCACTCGTTGCTTTTGCGCGGAAGTGAATGCCTAAACAGAAGCTCAGCATTTACATTGAAAAATGATGAAACTACGATGCTTCAAGAAGCTACAAAACACACCTCGTTACTGCAGAGTCGATCAAAAATGGTGAAAAGCATGAGAAGGTACTCATACTCGAGATTGACAGGTTGCCTTCCACAAACGAAGACAGCCTGCTGGACATCGCGAAGAACGTTGAAAATCAAACCGGGCACATTCTAGGAACAAAATGTTGGGAACATAATATCATACGTCATCTAAGAATAGATACCTGATCATTTATGTATGTAATGTTTAGAAATCCATCCACAGAATCAGAGCTCTCCCCTGGTAAAGGGGTGTAAGGGACCATTGGAGTAGCAATCATTTGTCGAAGTGTTGCAATCGCACAACGCAGGCATCGCTGCGGATGAGAAGGTGCCAGACGCTAGAATTTACTACTAGATTTCTGAAACAGAGCTTAGCACTGACCCCAAAAGGGCTAATTACCTCATGCATTGCTCTCAAGTCTGCACTGCGACTATAGAGCTTTTGTATGGATTGCAGTATTTTTGTCCTCGCTCCTTTCGTAACGTTTCTTCGCTCTAGCTCAACTTCGTCAAGCCTCATCATCTCATCATAGCTTAGTTCAGTGAACAGAGAAGTGTACTTATGTAAACGGAGAGACTTCAGCCAAGCGGGAACATCTACAATAATCTTGGTAAACGAGGAGAGACTGACAGTAAGTCCGACGAATAATTTCGATGTGATGTTAATATTTTAAGGTGTTATATGGTCTACCATTTTCTCGCATTTTCTTGTTTCTCATTTCATTTCTACTGAACATTTTAAACAAAGTTTTTCCTGCCTCCATATACCTAGCCATTTTAGTACATCCACAGAATTAGCAAACATTATTTTCTCCGAATATTGCCCACTGCAAACCGCAGGCTTCCCATCCCAAAATGATAGTGCACCCCCACATCGGCCTTCACCTAACGTATCTATCCGGTATGTTTGTTGCAATGTATGCTCCGCATAGATACGGTGAGATAGGAAGGCTCGTAAACGCTTCGTTTCGCCGACACGGGTAATTAATAACACGCGCAACATGCGCTGCTGTCCGCACTAGGAAACCTATAGAGGCGCTTGCGCCGACTATCTCGTATGTGTAATCTACCCGAATCCTCCTATAAAGGCCATGTTTGATGACGTACTGTTTCACACCTGTGCAGAAGAGGATTCACATGCTGTAATGCAGTGATTGGCAAGGTTTTAGAAATGCTAATAATTATTTGTAGGTGCTGCCCACTACCTCAGTTACTAGTCGTAACACACTACCTTAGTTACTAGTTGTAACACATTTTTAGAAATGAGAACGTATAAACGCGAAGTTGGATTGAAATTTCGCCGGACTAACTTTGGTGAACAATGTAAAGATAATGACTTCCAAAAAAGTAGGAAGAGAGCATACACAAATCCAAAACGAACATACCTTTCATCCCAGGTTTCAGCAGTTCTAGAGCAGGTGGAGTGAGCGGAGGTGAGCAAGACACGATGGAAGAAGTTGCGTCAGGTCTCAGCCTATGCTGCTGATTTTGTGTATCCATCTGCGGGTAGAACTGCGATTCAGTGCGTTTTCCATAAAATCCATCAGAGGGTAGTCGACATTGACCGCTCTAGAAAAAAAACAAGGTTTTTGCATGATTTGAAAATAGTTTGAAAACTTACATTCAAAGGTACGTTTGGTGGAAGACTTGTAGCAGCGTTGAATGATGAGCGTAGATTGGCAAAACAAGCCACGGTTGATGAACCCGGCTGCATCACTGGCTCATCTAGAATAGCGTACACATAAAATGACCATTTGAGGGTATTTTAAGTTACACGGAACGTTGTGCAATAAAATTCGAAGGGATAAGAACGGCGGAGGAATTAGATAGCTGACAATAAACGAACTTGCAAGAAAGGAACAAGAAACAATTGCACACGAACAGAGGTCCAAAGTGATAAAAGAGCAAAGAACATCATGCCGTGACCGTTCAGATGGAAATACATGAAGAAGATTGCAATAATCTCTTGTGAGCAAGCCTCTCACGAACAGTTCACGTAATAAGTTGCATAAATGAGAGGGCACACTTGAGGTGAGAGGAACGGCGAACACCCTGAAGAGGAGACGAGAGTGCCGCTACGAGTAGCGATCAGCAGTCGAGTGACCGCAAAGTATCAATGTCGAGAGCGAAGACCCCGATGAGTGGCCAAAGCGAACGCGACAGTTTGACTGTCCAGAGAGTTGCGCCCAAAGGTAACTGCAGTATTATTCTCTGGACATCTCGGTGGTAATTTCTCTAAACTGATTTGCTCGAGTATCAGCTTGCGTTAAAGCTTGCTCATGCTGATCCGGAAGTTCGGGACAATTCCAGCACAGCGCTCGAACTGAGCGCTTTGCTGGAACCGTTCCCGAACTTCCGAAGCAGCATGAACACAGCCTTAGAACTCGAAGAATATATGAAAACGAGAGATGGATAAGATGGTCTGGTGTCACTAGCACTTCTCGAGCAAATTCTCGAGCATAAATACTACAACAGTATAGCCGGATATGGTTGCCGTGAATTTTTCGCTTCAAGTGTGCAACTGCACGAACTTACGAGTGAGGGCGCTGGAGCGCGTCAACTCTACAGACTATTCCTTTTCAATCAAATTAATGCACTTCACTATGTGTTACCTCCGCTTCGTGTGTCCTATGACATCTTTCACAATTTTGAACATAGCGAAAGTGCGAGTTCTCAAACGCAAGCACGCATAAATATTTCACATGCATCTTCATGGTTTCTACCGTTATCACGGTTTACCGCTGTTACCGATGTTACCATGTTTCCAGAACACTGTTAACAGCGGTAACAGCGGTAACACCCGCATCATATGAGAAAATGAACCGCGCTAGCAGAAATTTGAACATCTAAAGACTCAGCGTTGGCTTGCTGCCAGCTTCCATGTGCTATCACGACGTCTTGAACATGTTGATTCTTGTATGGAAATGTCCAAACTGTCAAAGTCATGTGAAAACGTGAATGATTCACGTAAGAACTAGACGATACAGATTTGGACGTGTGAGTAAGTCAAAAATCCGCATCACCGAAAAGTGGCGCGACCATCGTTTGGAAATAGTGACTCTTTATTTTTCTGCTCGAGTTTTCCGAAAACCGCTTGTTATCTGTCATCAAGACGGAGGTTAGCAAGCTGTCTTCCGGAAACAGCAGGTGACATTAGGAATCATTGAGCGCGGTGAAGTCGGCTGTCGATCTATCTGTGTTACCTCGTAAAAAGTGTTGGTCGTGCCTTCTGTTTCTTTATCTTCGCATTGATATTCCTCAGAAATTTCACTTTCGGCATTGGTATTCCGGAAGAAGGAAATGAGATGGTTCATCAAAGAAAGATTTAGACGCAAACTATGACTACGTACTAATTACAGGTTTGTTATTTGAATTTTCAAACTTTTGGATTCACAGGCTCTGAATCGCGTCAGTTTAATCACCAACAGATATAGGTACGCTAACACGCGGAATGGGAGTGAGAGAATTTCAAGAAACCGTTTCTGGCAAAACAAAGTCATCGCTGGCCTTGGCCTACAGTCCACTTTCTTGTTGGTCAAGACATCAGGTTTGTTCTATATCCTAATAGGCCGAGTAGTATAAAAGATGTAAGCTCTGTATAAAATTTGGCTGAAACAGCTGTCCTTCATTTTGCAATCAAGCATCAGAGAGTTCGAGGTTATAGCGCTAGATGTGACCAACCTAACAACCCTAAACACCCTTAAATCTCTTGATAACAAATTTGTCGTCTCGATACGGAAGCAGACTATAGGGAAAGGCCATAAGGAAAGCGAAAAGAATGAGGAGGGGAACTGGATATTGGCTCGAAGCTGAAGTAGGATAAGCCAAAACATATCAGCTAAAAGCCAGTGTGCCTCATGATTGGAAATCAACTCCACTTACACCCTGAGAGAGGCGAACCTGTAACCCGGATTTGATCCAGAGTCAACAAGCAGCTATGATCTGTTCCAAGAGGGATTGTAAGAAAATGCAGATAACTCAACTGCATTCCATCAGAGAAGGAGTTGTTTTGCACGTTACCCCACTTAAACGACCTAGAGGGTTCCCTAGAGTTGAGTTGCATAACACAAACGTCATCTGACCCACCCAGTGGTGATGAGTTCTCGCCAATGATCGCTGTGTAATAAGCAGTGTCAGCCAATACTATAATAGCAACATATTCAGCTCACCTGTACCGATGTGCACTATTACACAGCTGGTATCTATCAGTTATAAATCTGCCACATCTGCCTGGAGGATGTACTGATTTACGATAGGTTCTCGGAAAAGAAAACGTGCATACATTTCTTTACATCATGTGGTTTGTCTCCGGTTTCGCAACCCGTAGAAAACAGTGCAGGGCACATTATCCCCATAGAATTCACAGGCACTCGCCATACAGTCTGTGTCAACGAGGTGCTTCTTTGGACGTACCCTTTGCCGGTTCAGTCGATCGGGGTTCGCTACGCAATGCCCACGCGCGGGCGGCGGGTAATTGTTATAGGAAAGGGTGCACGTGGTTGACATAGACTGTAGCCGCGCAACTATGGATGTTGGTAGTGCGATATTGCAGCTTATAGTTAGTGAAGGCTTTGTGAAGTCCATTGCTGATTTTGCGTCAGAAAGGTGATCAAGACTGAGTAGTGATTTGTTGTATCTCTAGAGATATGATCTGGAAATCCAGAAGGTGATTACTTGTGGATCTTGCTCCGTATGTGCATTCACCTTTCCACATTGCTACGCCTACATTGCCTGAGGTTTTTTGGAAGCGGTGACGACTTTTCTTCTTCGCAGCTTCAGACAAGTGGTGCAAGACAACTTTTTTTGCTGTGTTATTCGGATTAATCTTGTGTGAAAGTGGCGAGCATTGTTTTGCTAATTCTAGCAATATTTCATCAAAGGCTGGACAGTTGTCTGCACCTCGTAAGGGGCTGAGAGGAAAATGAAAAAAGACGCGATTATAGCATAAGATCTATGTAAATCGTTAGTATGTCTTTTTTGAGATGTTATCTGCAAGACTGCGCGTGGAGTTCAAAAGTAGGGCCATGTCTGCACAAGAATGACGTACAATACTGCGCTTGCACTGGTGACAACATTTGTGCGCAAGAACCTTTAGGCGCACGTTCTCAAATCTTGCGCTCTATAAATAACTAGTTGACTTACCCGGCTCCGCCCGGCCCTGTCATTATTATATTCGTAATCAGCATGCTCGATTACCCCCCTGTGCCAACTCCCAGCCCCGTAGCTCAAATTTTGCAAAAAAATCGATAAAATCGATATCGATCGATACGAGAAGTAGCCTATGACACGCTCCCCGCCCCGAAGTGTATGTGTGCCAAGTTTGGTCCCGATCGGTTCAGAAATGGAATTTTCTATTCGGAACATACGTACATACAGACATACAGACATACATACATACATACAAACAGACATTCAGCTTTATATATAAGAGTTTCTACGCGCGAAGGGCGTCGGCAACGCAAAAACGCTGTATTGGACGTCAAATCTACTAGATTTTACCTAAACAAGCCTGCATAAGCGTTTCATACCTGCAGTAATTTTCCGCAATTCTTGTATAAAAGGCGCGAAGTGAATGAGGTTGATCAATGCTCGGTGGTAGTGTGTCGAAACTCACTTTTTGAAGCGAATACGGGTTTCTAGCTAGCTTAGTTCTAGACGGAGTCTAGAAGGTTAGAATACTCAGCTACAATATGCGACAAATGGCGTTCCAGCCCCAAGCAAGCAACGCATCCTTGCAAGTTGCCAGGCCAAGATCTAATTGTTGGTGTTTAAAGATGTCAAAGGTGCCGAAAATCAGCTGATCGAGCGCTAGAAACTGAAGGCATGGGACTATGTAATACCCGTTGCGCTTGTTATCTCAGCCAATCACCTCTCACGAGACTGCACACCGCATAAACATAAATGACCTTAGCTACGAAAAGATCGAAAATAGCTATATTTAGCGATACCAAAAAGTTTTTTTTGCAACATTCCAGATTACAAACGTTTCTGCAAGAGCGCGATATCAAGTCTCTCAGATTGCAAATTGCCAGATATGATAAGAACTTTGAGCAAATAGGGTTCGTGCAAAGTGTGGTTACATATATTTCGGAAATTGAGTGTATCTCGCATTTTTGTAAACAAACACGAAACCCAGCTGTTCGTGCCTCTCCTATTTTACAATGACAATTAACAAAGTACAATCCCGATTGTTAGAAGTTCCGAAATTTCAGTGAGTTAGCCCAGAAAGCTCGAAGAAAAATTTCATGCAATTTATAAGGCTTTGTAACAAAGATCGGAATTTGATCTTATCGTTTGACAGAATTGTTAAGAAATTGATTCAATAAAACAATCTTTTCTGGGCCTTTCTCTTTGAAAATTAGGAAATTATAGAAATTTGAGATGTGGAACTCCAAAGTGAGGAATGAGTGCTTAGCTTTAGCAGACCTTATATGCTATTTCTCAGATTCGTTTTTTATGCCTCAGTTGGTTTCAGACTGAGACACTTTTTCAAAGAAAGAAATCAAGAATCTGTAATGTCCCTATCCTATAAGAACATTCTAATATTTTGAACTTTGTACCATGTACTTCCTCCCCCCCCCTCTCCCATTCCGTCTTGCCCTTTCCTTCTACTATCTAGAGTTTTTGCGATTAGAAACATTGCAACAGTATAGTGCAAGAATTTTTACTGTTCTTTACGGTGGTAAATGCAGATTGATGAGAGTACATAACGAGTCCAAGGCAAA